CCGGGGCCCTTCCCGAGGCCCTGCCCGGGGCTCATCCCGGCCCGATCTCGACACGATCCCGACCCCGGTCCCGGCGGGGGAACAAAGGAGCCACCGGAGCCGCCGCCGCCGCCTGAGGGTGCGCCGGGCCCGCGCCTGCGCGCCCCGCCCCGCGCCGAGCCCCGTCCGCCGCGCGCGCTCAGCCAATGGCGCGGCGCCCCGGCGCCAGCGCTGCCAATGAGAGGCGAGCGGAGGGGAGCGCGAGCCGCGGCCCCTCCCGCGCCCCCCGCGAAAGCAGCCAATGGGAACGCGGCGCGCTGCCCCCGGCCAGGGAAGGGAGGGGGACGGGGAGAGGCCGCGCCCACCCGCGGCTCGGCAGCCAATGGGAGGCGCGATCGCCGATTTTCCCCGTTCCCCCCCACGGCTGACCTGTCAGTCACTCGCCCACGCAGCCAATCAGCGCGGCGCTCTCCCGCCGCGGCCAATGAGAAGGCGGGGAAAGGAGTGGGGAGGCGGGGCTGGCGGGGCGTGGCGGGCGCGCGTGCGCGGAGCGCGCGGCACTGCGGCGGGGTGTGAGGGGCGGGCAGGCCCCGGGATGGGGGCGGGGAGCGGGAGCGGATCTCCGGGTAAGGGGTGTTCGTATGGGGCCTGAGAGGGACGTGGGTGTCCCAGTCCCGGGTGATCCCCTGGGCTGTGGGGCTTCCTCCGCATTTGGAGGTCACTGGGTCGAAGATCCCCGAGGTTTAGGGGGTCCCAGTCTCGAGTGATCCCGGGGGTTTTGGGGGTTCCTCCCTGTTCGTGGGACCGGGGGATTCCCGGGTTGGAGGGTTCCAGGCCAGCAGGATTCCGGGATTTCAGGGGTCCCAGCTCACGGGTCGCTTCCGTTTATCTGCAGTTTACATCTTCAGTTTATCCACTGCCCAGACTGTTTGTTTGGAAAGACAAATCCGTCATTCCTTTCAGGGGTGACTCTGTGGCTCTGGTGTCGCTGTTTTCACATGCTGGGATCGGTCACCCCCTAATTTTTGGGATAGATCCGCTGGAATTGGGCCAACTTGATTCATAAACTGAACTCTTGAGTTACACCGGGAATTTAGGTGGTCCTGAGCTGGGGGGTGGCTCAGTGGGATGGGGGGGTCCCATCTGCAGCTCTGTAATGTCACTACTCACCCTGACTCCCAGTTTTTGCTACAAATCCACTGGAATTCAGCCACTTTGAGGAATTCTCAAGTAATTTCTGAGTTACAACGAATGTTTGGGGGCGGCAGTAAGTGCATTTGGGTCAGTAAGTGAGCAGGTTCCCCTCTGTGCCTCCGTGATGTCTCCACACACCCATCCCCCCTAATTTTCAGACAAATCCACTGGAACCGAGCCGATTTAAGGAATTTTCAAGGAAACCCTGAGTTGCAGCAGATGTTTGGCAGGGGTTTCTGACTGCATGTGGGGTCAATAGGTGGGATTTCTCCCCCTAAAATGGCAAACGGCGCAGGATTTCCTCCAGCTGAAGGGGCAAGCAGCTGGGCCTCCCTTGGAGCGCCAGTCCTGCGCCGTTCGCAGTTTCGGGTGGGGACAGTCCACTCCTGGCCACGGGCCCCTAGACACAAAAGGCAGCCCTTTTCCATCTTAAATAAAACTCACCCCCCAGGTTCCTGATGTCAGTTTGTCAGAGCCTTTGGCACTCCCAGGGCAGCTCGAGCTGGTGGCAGCTTTGGTGTGGGAGAAATAAGGTGGCACCTTTTTAAGTTGTAAACAATGCAGGATTTTTCCCAGATTAAAACTGCCAGGAAGTTGGGCTCTGGCTGCCCTTGGACTGCCAGGTGCCACCTCTGAGCTTAGTTTGAGGCATTGTGGTGCTGAGCGTTGTTTCCCGTCGAAGAGGCCAGCGTTCACATCCTGTGGCTGGAAATGGGGTGCCCCCTCCTAACCCTCGCCTTCTCCCCTCGGCCCCTCTCCTGCCTTGCCCCTTCCTCTGCCCCTCAACTCGATTCAAACTTTCAGCCCATCCCCTTCTCCATCCCTGCCCCACCTGTGAGGGCTCACACCTGGGGGTCAGCGCAGCCCCCGGCAGGACAGCACCCAAATGGAAAAGGACAGCACCCAAATGGAAAAGGACAACACCCAAATGGAAAAGGACAACACCCAAATGGAAAAGGACAACACCCAAATGGAAAAGGCAGGGACAACGTCTGCGGGCTGCACAGAGTCACAAAGGGGCTGGGGGCTGAGGGGAGGTCAGAAGAGGGGCTTGAGGAGCAAAGGGGAGGCTCCAGGGTGTCACGTAGAAGCTGACAGGCTACACTGGGGGAGCTTGAGGGTGACACAAAGAGGCTGGGGAGCACGGGGTGCCTGGAGGGACAGAGGGGGGACGCTTGAGTGTGACAGGTGAACCAGCCCGCACACCACCCCTGACCTCACCCTTCAAACCACTCCTAACCGGGTGGAGAGTGCACGGTGGAGTTTAGGGGGCCAAGGGACAAGACACAGGGTCCTAATTAGGGTTAGATACAGGTGCAGCAGCCCTGACCCCACCCCTAAGGCCACCCTAAACACCATCCCTGTCACAGTGGAGAGCACACAGTGGAGGTCAGGGGTACAGGGTACCACTTCGGGTAAGGGAACAGCTGCAGCAGCCCTCACCCCTGCCCTAAGGTCACCCTAAACAGCCACCCTAAGAACACCATTTTCCCCCAACAGCAGCACAAGGCAGCAACCCTAACACTGGGACAGCCGCAGAACCCTCCCAGCAACACAACACAGCAACCAGGACAACCCCAGAGCCCTCCCAGGACAAGACCCCCTGCAGAATGGTAGGGATGGCATCTGTGGGCCAGAGAGTGACAGGTAGGGGCTGGGTGCTGAGCAGTTTTTTTAGGGGTATTTTTAGTTTGGTTTTTTTTTTATTATTATTATTTTTCTTCCAGGGCTTTTAAAGGATTTTTTAGCTTTTTTGGGGAGTTTTTTTAGGGCTTTTCTAGGACTGTTTAGGATACTTTAAGGGCTTTTTCAGGGTTTTTTTGAGATATTTTTAGGGGATTTTTAGAGTTTTTTAGTTGTATTTAGAATTTTTACTTTTTTTTTTTGGATATTCTTAGAGCTTTTTCAAAACTAATTAAAATTTTTAGGACTTAAAGATAATTTAGGGAATTTTTAAGACTAGGATTTTTTAGGGTTTTTGAGGGAAACACAAAGATTTTTTAGGATCTTATCGGGGAATTTAAGGATTTTTAGAGCTTTATTATGACTATTTAGGGTTTTTTTTTGATTTTAATTTTTTTTAAATTTTAGCGGTAATTTAAGAGCTTATTAACAGCTAGGGAATTGCTAATGTATTTCAAGGACATTCTAAGGCTAATTTTTGGGTTTTTATTTAGGGAATTTCTAGAGTTTTTAGGGTCTTTTCAGTGAATGAAACCTAGAGGCTGAGGGGCAGCTTGAGGAGCAATGTGGAGACTTGAGGATGACAGAGCTGAGGGAGGAACAGGGATAGGGGATGTTGGATGACACACAGAGATGGTCCTGGAACCAAGCTGTCCCCACCCAAAATCTGCCTTTGGAGTGCCAAAGGCCTCTGACAGGCTGATGTCAGGAA